TAGGTCTGATAATATCTGTCGAGATATAAATGAAGTTAACATCCAATTTTACTCTTCAGGAAAAGAAAATTACTCCCAAAAGTGATGCATAGTGGATTCAAATGTTACATCTGTTTCTGTCTCCACAGTTGCTGCTAGGGTATTGCTCTAGCACTTTGTTTTCATTCCATTTATCCTGTGCCAGTCTTGTGTACCTTTTATTCCAATTAGACTCTGAATTCACAGGATATGTACTTGGTGACAGAAATATATCTCCTGTCTAGACGTAGCTGACGAGTCCTGTCAAAAATCGGGGTACGAGATAGATTTGGCCTGCAAGACAATCGGCACGTGCGCAATTCAAAGCAGCGCATGGCAAACGTGTCAGTGTCAGCAAATGGCCTTGTTTCAAAATCTATCTGCTTCTATTACCATTCTGAAATCTGCATTTGTGTAAAATACTACACCATATCACAGAAATCAGAAGGGAATAACAGCACAACATTTAAAGAAACCCTCCACACAATTTCTCCAGTGTTGCCACACGACAGGGGTATGATTTAAACTCTGCCTATGACAAGCAGTACAGCATTCACCAATGGAAAGGACATTTAGGTTGGTTCAGCCTCCTCCAGTTGCTTCATTTTATCTCATGTTGTATGATCATCTGCACGAAGGAAGAGGCTGTAAGCCTTAGTTACAGCCTTGTGAGCTGTTTTGAGAATGTAACTTTAATAATGGCATAACGCCTATGTATAATTTGGGAAATGAGGTTTGTAGTGGGACTGAGTCAGAGGTGGAGAAGAATGAAGTGTGGTGTTGTAACTTTGGGAGTGTGAAGAGAGAGAGGAAAAGTAGGAATGTTGTAATTAGGGAGGCTGCAGGTGTTGTAAATATGAGAAGAAAATACTTGAAAGACGAGATTCTTAGCATAACAATGCTGATGAGGTCATTAAACTGTTTCCAGCATTGCAGCCATAAGCTCCTGGTGTTGACCTCCTCAGTGACCTGGTCCCACTGAGAGCAGAAGTGCTGCCTGGGGGTGTATCTGAACGCCGTCCTGTCTGTAACAGGACCTCCATCACATCTGAGAAACTGGATGTCCTCTCTGAACCTCCTGCAGCTGTTTTTTAACTTACAAAAGTTTCTCTACAACTGTAGTGCACAACCCTTTTAAGTGGTGTCAGATAAACTTGATTTCCTGCTTCCTCAAAAATATGCATCCAATAAGCAGAGCTGGCTATATGTTTGGCACATGTTAATGAACAATGAAACTCATTTCAAGCAATCTATTTTCCAAAGGCACATGCAGAAGTCACAGTTACATTTCTAGGCTCATATTTTGTAAATAATTGTTAGTTTTAATTTTGCATCTTGGAACAAATAAGAACAAATTTTTGATATGATGTTTAAGACAAAATACAGACTTTTTAAATGCTTAAAACAGGGAACCGTGAAGATATAATTCTCCATTGTGCCCTCCCAAGGCTTTCACATAACATAGGTGATCATTTGTCTTTGTGTTTACTGACATAACCTTTATTAATTCTATAAAGCTCTGATTAGACTCCATTTCAAAAACTATATAGTCCTGGGCACAAAATCTCAGGATGAATACATTGACATGGAGGGACTTCAGCTCATATTCACCAGAATGATACTGGGATTAAAATGGTTAAACTAAAAGGTTACATGTACTCAACATGTATTCCCTTCAGTCGATGATTAAGAGGTGATATAGTTGAGGCATTATTGATTATTAAAGAAATAATAGGTTGGATGAAAACTGCTTCCTTTGGGTGGCAAAAAATTAAAATCAGAGGTAGGCTTTTCAAGAGGATATCAGGAACCAGATGCTCACATAAAGGGAAGGCTGTTTGATGACACTTCTGTGAAGTAACTTGAGATGTTTTGCCACGTGAAAGGGACTGTGCAAATTGAAATTGTTGTTGTAACTGGATCCTTCAAAAAAAAGTTCCTAAATTTTTGTTCAGTACAGCTGAATGGCAATAAGGCAGAATTGATTGATTCATGCGGCTTAATCAATTACTTCTGTTCTTACCTTCATAAATGTTGCAAATCACTGAAAGCTGTGTATTTAGTTCATTTAAATATTTAATTGTATTGGAAATAGCAAGCTTTTATTTGAAGTTAAAAGGTCCTGAAACTTTCTTACATAATGTTAATAAAACCAAAGCCAGTTGTACAATTCAGACTATTCATTATCCTGATAAAAATCATTGAACTTGATTTGGCTGCTGTTCTGATTGTAAATTTGTAAATTGTGGTTACCATATATTCTGTTTGTAGATTTAAATAATTAAACTGTAAGTTGTAAATGGTTAGGTCATAACATTTCACCACAGAAAGGTGCATAAAGTGAAATATTGCACTTACAGAGTCCCTGAATTCAGACGTATTTACCCATTTTTTGTCCTTCGTCATCAATAATTTAGCACAGAATTCTATTTGGACTGTGCTGTCTAGCAGCTGTAATCTCTCTTTAATAAGCAAAATAATTAATGTTTGCTGTTCAATGTGTCCCTTCCCAGCCATATAATGTCTTCCTTTTCATGTAATGCTGAAATGTTTTAAAGAGAGGATTTCTGCCTTTATTCTGTTTTAGGGATAGAGGCTATCTTAGAAAACTACTAATATTAATGATTGGTTTGCAAGCATGCTATAGTTTGAAGGGGGTTTTCACAATATCCTACGTGGGCTTAGTGCTAAGAGGTCTGTTATATCGGCTATTTTGTGGAGTGCATCAAAAAGTCTTATTTCATTGCAAGTAATACCCAACTTATTGGCAAAGAAGTTCAGTGCTTGTAACAGCAGGTTATCTCTGCTTAGTTTCTGCCTCAGGAGAGCTTGTGTCTTGGCTACTGTTTCTGCTATAAGTAAATCTCTATTATGTACTGATCAGACTAGCTGTTTATTTTTAATGTCATGTTTCTAATGTGCTTATTAGATTAAGCAAGCCTAAAGCAAGAGTCTTGACTGTCTTATTGCAAAACTCATGATGAGTGGATGCTTTTTAGCCAAGTGCTGGTTTTTATTTTTCAACTTTTTTTTTACAATGAACTTTGGGGCTGGAAGCAGAAAGTAGAAAATCATGTTGATGCACTTCCTTAGAACAAATAATGAACAGACATTCCTAAAATTAAATGGAAATGTTATGTATTTTAGCCTTAAGAAAGATATCAACAGATTTGGGCAGAGAAGCAGAGGTGGTCCCAGATGCAAGTACAGGCAAAATACAGAGATATAAAGAACAAAGAACAGTACAGCATAGGAACAGGCCCTTCAGCCCACCAAGATTGCACTGACACATGATGCCTTTCTAAACTAAAAACCTTTTTCTTCTTGCAGTCTGTATCTCTCTATTCCCTGCCTATTCATGTATCTGTTAAGATACCTATTAAAAGTCGCTATTATATCTCCTTCTACCACATCCTCTTGCAGCACATTCCAAGCACTCACCACCCTTTGAGTGAAAAAATAACTTGCCACTCACCACTCTTTTAAACTTTCCTTCTTTTCTCTTAAATCTATGTCCTTAGTAATTGAAAAACTCCAACCATCCATTCTGTCGCTACCTCTCAATTTTGTAAACCTCTGTCAGGTCACCCCTCAGCTTCTGACATTCAATTGAAATCAAAGTGAGTTTGTCCAATCTCTCCTCTTAGCTAATCAGGCAACATTCTGGTGAACCTTTTTTCCAAAGCCTCCACATCCTTATGGTATTGAGGTGACCAAAACTGTACACAATAGTCCAAATGTAGCCAAACTAAAGTTCACTACACTGCAACATGACTTGCCAGTTTTTATACTGTATGCCCCGACCAATGAAAACAGGCATGCCATATGCCTTCTTGACCACCTTATCCACTTGTGTGATCACTTCCAGGGAACTCCATCTGTACACCTAGATCCCTCAGTATGTTAATGCTTCTAAGGGTTCTGTCATTTGCGGTATACTTCCTTTCTCTGTTGGACCTTCCAAAATGCATCACCTCACATTTGTTTGGATCAAAATACATCTACCATTTCTCCATCCAACTCTCCAGCCTATCTATTATTCTGCTGTATCTGACAATCCTGCTCACTTTCCGGAGCTCCACCAACCTTTGTGTCATCCGGAAGCACGTATATATATATTACAAATAACAAGGTGTAGAGCTGGATGAACACAGCAGGTCAAGCAGTATCAGAGGAGCAGGAAAGCTGACGTTTCGGGGCTAGACCCGTCTTCAGAAATATCTGATTTCTGAAGAAGGGTCCAGATGCGAAACGTCAGCTTTCCTGCTCCTCTGATGCTGCTTGGCCTGCTGTGTTCATCCAGCTCTACACCTTGTTGTCTCAGATTCTCCAGCATCGGCAGTTCCTACTATCTCCATATATTACGAATGATAGGGGTACCTGTTTAGCTTTCTGCCTTTATTTCTAATTGAAGAAAAATAAATGTGCAGTAGGAGCCTCCTTTTATAGCAACTGAAATTCAAGTTCTTTAAAAGCAGAATTTCAGAAATGCATCAAACAACATCTAGATTTGTTACCAGTTTAATATACATGAATTCAATTTCTTTCACTGTTCTTTTGATGTGGTTGGAAATACATCTGCTTAATGTAGAATGCTTCTCTTGGTGCTATGATGAAGCCAGCTCAACAACAGTGATGAGCAAGTAGTATGCCCTTTTGAATTTATCATCATCATAGGTGCAAAAATTTTGTATTTTCAGATGATCGTTGCCTGTATACAGTAACGAAACAAATTTATTGGTGACAGATCTTTGAGTTCAATCAAGATGACTGTATCAATTATCTTTTTATCACAAACTGCAATCAATAATGGATAAGCTAAAAGAAAATATCACCCCATTTGTAATGAAATGAATTTTTAAAGACGTATGCAAGTAATCTTTAATACAATACGCTAAACATGGGGGTCATTTGCATTCCTTGCATAGCTCCATTGTCCAGTACACAGCTACAAATGAAAAATGGCTATTAATTATTTGTAGACAAAAAGAAGCAGACCACCATAGATGTGACAACTGATGTAACTGCCTCAAGGGTAAAGAAAAGTTCATATACTAAACAATCAATTTAATTGCTCTTGGAGTGCAGTGCCAAGGCAAGAAGTTCACAGCTCACCCTGTGGTATTGGATGCTTTAGGAATATTAACAGCAGGAAAAACTGCTGCTATTGTTGGACTCATTTGTCTTCTTTAGTGTATAAACAAGTTAATAGCTGAACAAAGAATTCTTCCTAGCATTTAGACTTGTCTTCATGGAGATCTAAAGATTACACACACAAATCACTTTACAATAGTGCAGTAAGAGTATTTTATATACAATGCATTGCTCATGTCAGTAGTGACAAATGCCTGATTCTAACTTGGTGAGTTATTTAAATGGAAATATTTTATCATTCTTTTGTGTGTAATAGTCAATGCAAGAAAGAAAAGAGAGAGTTCATAAACAAATTATCCCCACCAGAAAAGATCCTTTCCACTGGTTTCCAGATGAAACAAATGGAGAACATATTTAAAATTACAATCTTTTTTAATTTAACCACAGGGTGGAGATGAAAGAGGACTGTTAAGCCTTGCATTCCATCCCAAATACAAGAAAAATGGAAAGCTCTATGCATCTTATACCACCAACCAAGAGCGATGGGCCATTGGACCACATGACCACATTCTTCGAGTAGTCGAATACACTGTTTCCAGGTAGTACAATAACAATATGAGAAACTTTTGCTCCCAATGTTTCACCAATATTAATTACTGAACACATGGAACAAAGCTTCATTTGCTGTAAATGACAATATGAATACCATATTGTATGGAATGATGATGCTATTTATTAGTTCATCAAAACAGTAACATAAGAATTTATACTGTTTAACATCTAACACTCTTTAAAATGCTAATCACTCTATTTATTGGTGAAGATAGCCAATTGCAAGAACCCAGTTACTTGGTTGTAGTAGTTTATTTCATATTAGAGCAAGTTCTAGTGTTGAGTCATGTCCCTCAATTCTGCGTATCACGATTAAAGGAAGTTCACACTTTCTCATCATGTGGTTGATTCAGTGTTTGTAACTGTTTTAATTTAATTATGGTTAGCTTTATAAATGTATGGCTATGTTATGAGATGAGTAAAAATGTTGTTCAATTTTATAGATATGTTTTAAGAACTTCATTTAAATAATCCAGCTGTACATTTAAACATCGCTACCACTAAGACAAAATTTTAAATTAGACCATTACAAAGTACTACCATTATTTGGTATATTCCAATGTTTATCTGTTGACTTTAATATTTTTTTTGGAATCTGACTCTGTGAGAAACTAGAATTAATACCGGTATAAGCATGTCATTAACTAAAAGTGCATCAGCTTTAGACCAGACTGGAACATTCAAATTGTGGGATTCAGTAAACCTTCAAGATGTATCCCTGATATACCAACAATTATTTCACTTATTCATTTAAACAAGAAGGAATATTAAAATAAAAATCAAAACATTAAATTCCAAGAAAGAAACTTTGAATGTATTTAATTAGGTTGCCTAAGTTGTTACATTCTTGTCCCTTCGAGTATCAAGGACATTTGTCACTCTTGTCTTAGTAGTCACACTCTTCCAACTGAGTCAGAAGGTTGTGAGTTCAAGTACCACTCCAGAGCTTTAAGCAGATAATTTGCCTGATTCTTCAGTTTAGTGGTGAGGGAGTACAGTACTGGCAGAGGTGCTACCATTTGGGTAAGAGCCAAGGCACTTCTTGCTTCTCAAGTGAGCATAAACGATCCCATGCCCTATAGAAAAAAATGAAGGAAGGTTTACTGAGAATTTTGCAAATATCTGTCTTTCCAACAAGATGAATGTTATAGATTATTTGAACATTAATTTAGTTGCTGCTTATGGGACCTTGCTGTTGACCTCTTGACCGTCATGTTACTCTACCACTGACTACACTTCAAAAATATGTTTAACTAGTTGTAAAGGATTTTGGGGCATTCTAAGGCCATGAAAGTTGCTGTAAAATACAAGTTCTTTCTTTAATTAATGTATTTTTCAAAGGAATGTAATTATGTATTGCTATAAAAGACCTTTTTTTCTTGCACTCATCAGACAATCCTCAAGAATACCAATGTAAAGGGAAAACAGCATTTATACTGTATGACAATGTTACTTGGTTGACAAGTGAATTTTAGTAGAGGCATCACCACAGAAAATGCACCATTTAATAATGACTGACAGTTAGCTGCCAAGTTTTATTTATATTTTAAACTAGGCAGGATAACTCAAGATATTGCCCTAAGCAATGAACCTAAGAATGGCTGTCATGTGTTTTGTTTAGTTGGAAGAGGCGCAGTCTGCATTAATTCTCTTTGCCTGCACAGAAGACAGCCTTCTGTATTAATACATTAAGCTTACAGTAGGTACCCACAGGTGTGCCACACTATGAGCCTGACTGACAAGACTGAATTGTCGTCAGCATATCTCTTCATGCATTCAGAATTACTTAGCAGGAATACTCACTATTACAATGCCTGTTCTAATCAGGGTCCACTTTCCTATGAATCAGCACTGTCATACAATTAAAAGCTGTTTTATTTTTACATCACTATTCCTTGCAAATTGTTCTGATGAGAGCAAGGTGAAAAAAATTGACAAAATGTGTCTTTTTTCAGCAATACTCATGTTCTGTACTACCAAATGACTAATTGAATGTAATTTTATTAGTAAACATAATTATAACTTATTATGTAGAAAAAATGCAAATCAAGTGGATACAAGAACAGCAAAGGTATTGATTGAAGTAGCAGAGTTACACAGAAAGCATTTGGGTGGACAGCTCTTGTTTGGACCAGATGGCTTTTTGTACATCTTCCTTGGAGATGGAATGATTACTCTTGATGATATGGAAGAGATGGATGGGTTAAGGTAAGTAGATGATAAAAATGACATGGTAAAATGCACATAACATTCAATAATTATAAATGAACCGTCAAAACACTTGCGATGAAGGACTTTGTCTAATGTCCAAGATGATACATGACAAGTGTCATTCTGTAATGCCAAACAGTAAAACATAGATTTCTTTCTTTGATAATTCTTTTTCATTATTTCAGTTATTATAGAAAATAAGAAATAGAATACAAAAAAAGGCAGTAGAGAAATTGAAATGGAGGCACTCACAATACAAAAATTACCCACTTCATTTTTTAAATTTCATTCATAGGATGTGGGCATCACTAGTTTGGCTAACATTTATTACCATCCCTAAATGTCCAGAGGGCAATTAAGAGTCAACCACATTGCTGTAGTTCTGTGTTTATGTAGGTCATATGTAGGCCAGACCAGGTAAGGATGGCAAATTACCTTCCATAAGACATTAGTGAATCTTATAGGTTTTTCTTGACACTCGACAATGGTTTCATTGTCATCATTAGACTGTTATTTTACTGAATTATTATTGAATTTAAATTCCACCATCTGCCATGGTAGGATTCAAACCCAGGTCCCCAGAACATTAGCTGGGTCTCTGGATTAGTAGTCTAGCAATAAAATCACTATGCTGTTGCCTACTCCCTGAAATAGAATTTATCCAAGGTTGTTCAGGGAAATAATAGTGGAAACTGTGAAGTCTCTTCTCAAAGTCTTCTAATCCTCTTTGGATATTGGGTGGGTGCTAGAGGACTGAAGGATTGCCAAAGTTACATCTAATTTATATAAAAGAATGGATAGAACAGGCAATTACAGACAGATCAGCTTAAATTGATAGGAAAACTAGATACTTGGAAGTGGGCCAGGAAACCATTTGTTTCGGCAGCAGAATTTGCTGTGTTTGTTTAACAAAGTCAATCATTTAGCATTCTACATCCAGGTTTCCTGACCAATCATAGAATATTTGCACCTATCAATGAAAGGTTCTCTATTCAAAGGGTCGCTGGCAGAGATCAGAAATAGTGTATCCTGCACGCTTTAAAGAAGGCTGTAGGGAGAAGATTTATGACTAGGCAACATGAAAAGGCCACACAGTCCCCACCCGCATCACCACCACCAGTTCTCTTGGCTGTTCCTTGGAGTTGATGCCAGTGCAATGTGGACCGCAAGATAAGTTTTATTTTGCTGCAGATTGGAAGAAGTCAACTAACTGAACAAACAGACCTGGCTGGAAGTATCAGAAGTAACAGCATGAATGTGATCTCTTGCAACCAAATAAATTCTAAGTTTAATGAATATAACGTCACTCTTCACAAACACAAACCCAGGCTGTCCACGTTTCTATTTATCACACTGGATCTATAGTGATAATCATATTGCAAATTGACTGCTGTGGAGGAACAGGTTTTAGTGATCGGCAAGATGGCAAAGCGATGGTAGAGTATGGTTCATCCACATACCTGGGGGCTACTTGGCACATAACTGTCACTCAGGCTAAATTGATATTACCACTGACTCTGCATATTAAGGCATTTAAATGCAGAGTTTGAACTCTTTCCTATGTGGTACTATCCTTGTAGAAACTGATAACGTTTTTAAAAAAGAATAGAATTCCCAATGACTAACTCAAAGGATCACAAGACAAAATTTCACATTTTAAAATTACTACTGTAACAAGTAAATTAAAGAAAATATAAACTAAACGTTACTGAAGAAGCAGCTAATACATTAAACTACAGAAAATATATTGCCAAAAGTACAACTCCCTGCACGAGGGAAAACCCCGGCCATGTTCACGTTACACCACACTTTCCACAGAATAGTTATCTGTCCAGAAGCAGTTCAAAGTTACTTATAGTTCCCAACAGGCTCATTTCTCCCTGTTTCACTGAGTTATAGCATTCACTGTATTTTGAGAATTGTTTCCTTTAACCTCCTGAATCAACTTCAAGCAATAAGGCCAACTCTGGCAACTCCTCATTGTCATGGCAAGGTAACTGTTCCAATGTCTTTAGATCTCTGCATCTCTTGAAAATGAGCATCCACCGTTCTGTCTGGTGGCTGACAAAGAGCAACCATTTCCCTTGCTGGTCATCTCAGCTGTTGCTTCCCTTTTCTCGCTCCCCAGGCTCTCTGAATCTCAGTACTTGGGAGTATGTAAGTCTATCCATAGCAAGGTCAACTACTTTTCCCTTTACCTCCAGATCTGAAACTGGCATTTGAATTTGAATTTTGGCATTTGAATCAGTAGGATTTTCTCTGGCCTCCCTGTCCCTATGCCAATCAAGTCACATAGGCTCATCACTGGACGGAATTGGCAACAAATCTCTTGCCATTTCTGATTACTCCATTCTACCTTGAATCAAAAGAGTCAGTTTAAAACCTACGCGTCTTCTGAAATCTCTTACTGATACCACATCAGCAATAGTTCACATCACTCGTAGAATCATAGCATCATACAATGCCGAAGAGGCCCTCCAAACCATTGAGTCTTCACCAATAGAAAAAAAGTACTCTAAATCTATGCCAGAGTCAAACAGCGTGGAAGCATACTCTTCGGTCCAACCAGTCCATGCTGAACATAATCCCAAACTAAATTAGTCCCATCTGTCTGCTCCTGCCCATATCCTTCCAAACCTTTCTTATTCATGTACTTATCCAAATGTCTTTTAATCATTTTAATTGTACCCACATCCACCACTTCTTCAGGAAGTTCATTCCATATGCAAACCACTCTCTGTGTAAAAGCTTTGCTCCTCTTGTCTTCTTTAAGTCCTTCTCCTCTCACGTTAAAAATGTGGTCCCTAGTCCTGAAATCCCCCATCTGCCCACAGCCTTTGATGTTATAAGATTTCATGTGCTCATCCAAGTACTTTTGAAAAATTGTTAAGTTTCCTACCTTAACTACCCTCCCAGTTAGTGCTTTCCAGATCCCTACTATCCTCAGGGTGAAATTTTTTTCCCCAAATCCCCTCTATAACTCAGCCTTTCACCTTAAAATTATGCCCCCTTGTTATTGACCGTTCAACTCAGGGGAACAGCTGTTTTCTATCCACCCTGTCTGTGCTCCTCATAATCTTATACACCTCAATCAGGTCACCTTTCAGCCTTCTCTGCTCTAAAGAAAGCAACCTGAACTCATCCAGCCTCTCTTCATAGCTAAACTTCTCCATCCCAGACAACATACTGGTGAATCTCCTCTGCACTAACCCCAGTTCAATCACATTCTTCTTGCAATGTAGTGACCAGAATTACATGCACTACTCCAGCTGTGCCCTATCCAAAGTCCTGTACTGCTCCAACATACCACCCTGCTCTTGTAATTTATGCTACAAGTGATAAAGGCAGATTTCCCATATGTCCTATTAACCTGTCCTGGCATCTCAGGGATCTGTGGACAAGCACTCCAAGATCCCTCATTCCTCTGAGCTTCTGAGTGTCCTGCCATTCTTTGAGTACTTCCTTGTCTTGTTATTTCTTCTAAAGTGCATCACCGCGCACTGATCCATCTGACCAATGAGTCTATATTCTCCTATAACCTTCTTTCTCACTGCCAACAACCTGATCAATTTTTGTGTCATCTAGAAATATACTTATGCCACCTACATTTTCTTCTATGTCTTTTATATATATCGTGAACAATAAGGAACCCAGAACTGATTTCTGTAGTACATCACTGGATATTGGCCTCGAGTTACACAAACAGCCTTCTACCATCACTTCTGTCTTCAACCATGTAACCAATTTTGGATCTAACTTGCCAAGATACCCGAGATCCCATGTGCTTTATCTTTTTTATCAGTCTTCCACGTGCGACCTTGTCAAAAGCTTTCCGAAATCCATTTCAGCACATCAACTGCAGAACCATTAACTACACACCTGGTCACCTCTTTGAAAAGTTCAAATGAATTTGTTAGGCATGATCTCCGTCTGACAAGCCCATGCTGATTATCTCTCATCAAACTTTGCCTTTCCAAATGGAGATTAATTTTCTCCAGTTGTTTCCCTTCCACTGATGTGCGACCACTGGTCTGTAGTTACCTGATTTATCTCTACCAGTCTTCTTGAAATATGGAACCACATTAACTGTCCTCCAGTCATTTGGCTTCTCCCCTGAGGCCAGAGAGGAATTAAAAAATTTGGGTCAGGGCCCCTGTAATTTCCTCCCTATCCCCCACAGAAACCAGGAATTTAACTAATCCGGACCTAGGGATTTATCTGCTTTTAATCCCGCTAAAATCTCCAATACTTCCTCACTCTCTATGTCAAACTGCTCAAGAACCTCAGTCCTTCTTCCAGAATTCTTTTCCCCAATACATTCGTTCTCCGAAGCGAAGATGGATTTGAAAACTTTGTTTAACACCCTATCAATGTTCTTGGACTCCATACGCACATTGCACCCTTGGCCCCTAATGGGCCCCACTGTTTCCTTGGTTATCCACCTTCCCTTGATACACTTAGAATATCTTGGAAATCTCCTTAATCTTAATGGCCAGTGTTTTTTTTTCATGCTCCTCTTTGCTCTCCTAATTATTTACTTAAGTTCCCTCCGTACTTTCCATACTACATGAGGGCCTCCATTGATTGGTTTCCTTTGTACCTGTTAAAAGCCTTTCTTTTCCTTCTTATTCAGTCCTGAGTATTCTCTGGTGTTGTTGCTGCTTCATTTAACCCTAAAGCGAACAGTACTCTCACTAGTTCCATTTTGAATGCACCTTCACTGTTTTGCTGAAGATGTACCCAGCAGTAGCTGTTCCCACTCTACTTTGGCCAGATCCTGCCTTATTTTAACAAAATCTTACTGCCTAATCTAAATTCCCTCTTTTGCAGGTCATCTTTTTCCTTTTCCATAACAAATTTAAACTGTATGATGTTGTGGTCACTATCACTAAAATGCTGTCCTTGAACTCATGTTCAGCTTCATTCCCCAGATTTAGGTCCAGCACACATTGTCCCTTGTTGGACCTTCTAGATATTGACATAAAAAGCTTTCCTGAATACATTTCAAAAAATCTGTCCCCTCTGAGCCTTTTGCACTATGTCTATCCCAATTAATACTGCAGAATTGAAATCGCCTAACATAATTACCATGTATAAGGTTTTTGAGAAGATTTGTAGCTCGGGTTGTGGATGAGGTTGTAGACTTGCTCGCCAAGCCTATGTGTTTGATTGCAGACATTTCGTCACCCTGCTAGGTAACATCGTCAGTGTGCCTCCGTGAAGCATTGGTGTTCTGTCCCGCTTGTTATGCATATGCATAGATTTGCTGGGGTGGTTGGCATCACTTCCGGTTTTGTTTTTCAGTGATTTGTGTATTGGGTCCAGTTTTATTGGTTGTGGGTATGGGATCTTTTATATTCATCAGTAGCTGCCACAGTAGCAGTAGCCACTTTACATCAGAGACATATCAGAGATGAACACAAGACTACTCAGAACCCTAGGTATCAGGATAGTCCACAAACCAACAACCACTCTACGACTGCTACTGACGAATGTAAAGGATCCCATACCCACAACCAATAAAACTAACGTAATATAGAAAATACCATGCAAGGACTGTGAGAAACATTACATAGGCCAAACTGGAAGAAGACTGTCTATAAGGATACACAAACACCAACTAGCCACCAAGAGACACGACCAATTCTCACTAGTCTCAATACACACAGATGAGGAAGGACACAAATTCAACTGGGACAACACATCCATAATAGCACAAGCCAAACAGAGACATGCCATGGAATTCCTGGAGGCCTGGCATTCTAACCAGAGCTCCATCAACAAACACATTGAAGTGGATCTGATATACAAACCAATAAAAACCAGAACTGGAAGTGATGCCAACCACCCCAGCAAACCGAGGCATATAAATAACAAGTGGGACAGAACACCAAGGCTTCACCAGAGGCGTACTTACGAAACATCTGCAATCAAACACACCAGCTCGGCGAGCAAGTCTACAACCTCATAATTATCATATTATTGTTTTTACACATCTCAGTATAATTATCTATTGATGTGTTTTTTTATGCCCTGCTGACTGTTTGAGGTCTACAGTGCTCTCCCAGCAGTGTGACTGTCCTGTTTTTATTCCCAAGGTCTACCCACAAAGCCTCAATTGATGACCCTTCCAAGATATCATCCTTCCCCTATCTTACCTGATCCTGTACCCTGGAATGTTGAGTTGCCAGTCCTGCCCCTTCCTCAGCCATGTTTCTGTGATGGCAACAACATTGCAATTTCACATGTCAATCGCGCCCTTGATTCATCTGTGTTATCTGTAATGCTGGTAGCATTAAAGTTGAGGCCATCCAGCTTCGCCTTTCTCCACTGAAATTCCACTTGGCTGAACTCCCTCTACCTTGGTTCCTTTACTAAAGTAGGCTGTGTCCATATTGTACTCATTACTGTGTGGCAGGAACCTTACTTGTTTAGGTACTTGTCTACTTGTGTTACTTGTGACACGTTACAAGTGTTACAGGATAGACAAAAAAGTGGAGTTGAGACCACAACCAGATCATGTGTAGAGGCATAGAGTCACAGAGCATGGAAGCAGAACCTTCGGTCCAATTCGTACATGCTTACCAGATATCCTAAATTAATCTAGTCCCATTTGCCAGTAATATGGCCCACATCCCTCTAAGTCCTTCCTATTCGTAAACCCATCCAGATGCCTTTTAAATGTTGTGATTGTACCAGCCTCCACCACCTCCTCTGGCAGCTCATTCCATACACGCACCATCCTCTGCCTGAAAAAGTTGCCCCTTAGGTCCCTCTTAAATCTTTCCCCTCTAACCTTAAACCTATGCCATCTAATTTTGGACTCCCCTACTGTAGGAAAAAGACCTTGGCTATTCATTATATCCATACCCCTCATGATTTTATAAGTCTCTATAAGATCACCCCTCAGCCTCCAACACTCTTAGGGAAAATAGCCCCAGTCTATTCAGCCTCTCCCTATAGTTCAAACCCTTCAAAACCAGCAACATCCTTGTAATTCTTTTCTGAACTCTTTCGAGTTTCACAACATTTTTCCTACAGCAGGGAGACCAGATCTTATTGAATGACAGGGCTGGCACTGAACGGCTCAGTGGTCTATTCTATTACTCCTATATCCTAACTCCATATGCTGTGATGTAACTATCAGCCCAGAACTTTATGTTGTCCAGGTCTGTTGCATATGGACACATGCTGCTTCAGTATTTGAGAAGTCACAAATGGTACTAAACATTGTGCAATCATCAACAATCCTTCCCAATTCTGACCTTATGATAGAGTCATTGACAAAGAAGCGGAAGATAGTTGGGCATTGGACTCTAGCTTGTAGACCTCCAACAATCACAATAGTCTTCCCTTGTGCAGGTATGACCGCAACCAGCAAAGCGTTTGCCCTGATTTCCATTGACCCCAGTTTTGCTAGAGCTACTTGACACCACACTTGATCCAGAGCTGTCTTGATATCATGGGCAGTCACTCTCACCTCTCCTCTCTCGAATGCAACTTTTTTTTGCCTATGTTTGGATCAAAGCTCTAATGAGGTCAGGAGCTGTGTGACCCTGGCAGAACCTAAACTTAGCATTAATTATCAGTTTATTGCTGAGCAAGTGCCACTAGATAGCACTGCTGACAATCCTTGTATCAATTTTTATGATGAATGAGAGTAGACTGGCAAGGTCAGATTTGTGCTGCTTTTCGTAGACAGGACATAACTGGGCAATTTTCCACCTTGCTGGTAAATGAGTCTTGTGACTGTACTGGGACATCTTGGCTAGGGACATCAGTCATTCCAAAACACTGATCTTTAGTACTATTGTTGGAATGTTGTGTTCAGTATCCAGTGCATTCAGCCATTTCTTGTTATCATGTGGACTGGATTGAATCGGTACAAGACTGGCCTGTATGATGCTGGGGACCTCGGGAGGAGGCTGAGCTGGATCATCTCAAAACTTCTGGCTGAAGATAGTTACATATACCTCAACCTTCTCCTCCATCGTTGAGAATAGCAATACATGTGGAGTCTTCTCCTCCATTTGGAACGACTACAGAGCTGAGATCTGATCTGTTGGTTGCAGAATTGCTTAACTGTCTGTTGAATGCTGTTTATGCTGTTTGGCATGTAAGTAGACTGGTAGCTTCACCAAGTTGACACCTCTGTTTTAGGAAATTATGGTGCTGCTCCTGGTAAGCCTTCTAGCAACCTTCAGGAAATTCAGGACAACATCAGTAGTTTCCACCAATACTACACTAGAGTACTGAGGAGTGCTGCATTTCAGATGGAGACGTTAAACAAAGCCCTGTCTAACTCTTAAAATCTCATTTAACGTCGTGAACCAACATGACAATTTGATCAGTCATCTCACTTGCTATTTGTGGTGCCTTGCTTTATACAATTTGATTAACATATTTGCCTCCACAACAATGACTTAATTTCAGTAATAATTAATTTTTTGCACTTTACACTTGAGGATGTGATACAGCAATATGCAAGTCCAAGATCTTTACTTAGCAACTCCCAGTGGCAATACAAAACCTTCTCAATTAGCCAAAGGCTTAAGGTTATATTTATAAACGTAGGAAGGATTCATTACTATGCCTAAATAAATCAGTTAGCACGAGCTGGAGGTGAGTTTGAAATGGAGTACATAGCCAAATACCAGACTATGTATAATATGTATAATTTCTATTTGATTGCAAGGTTTGACTCATACATTTAACAATATTAACATTTATTAATTATGTAATTAACACTCAATCGACCTAAACACTTTTCATTTTCCCCTCAGGCGAAGTCACAGACAATTTCCAAGCAATTTTTCTCCAGATAACCTCTAGATCACCAGAAAGTATGACCAATTCTGCAATATTAATTTAATGTAATTATTTTTCTCAGCAAGGGGTAGTAGCCCAAATCAACTTGTCTTCCAGTTTACTGGTGATGCTCCTGGTAAGCCTTCTTGCAACCTTCAGGAAATTCAGGACAACATCAATAGTTTCCACCAATACTACACTAGAGTACTGATGAGTGCTGCATTTCAGATGGAGACATGTAGAAGACCTCAGTTTGATTAGGCACATCTGCCTAGAAGGCATATTAAAATCATAAATGCTCAAGTGCGAAGAAATGTCAGTGTGGAACAATCATTTATCCCCCTGTATTTTTAGAAAATAATTTATTAAGGAAGAACTATATCCAAATGGGTGGTCTCCATGTTTGGCCCAAAGTCTACTACTTGGCAAACTACCAGAAATGACAATATTTGAATTTGAATCTTTATATTATTGTTCATTCTCGTTTATTTACAGAAGTTCATGCTTCTAATTTTTTCTTATACTTGCTGTATAACCTTTCCAGTGATTTTACAGGCTCTGTGCTTCGAATTGATGTAGATACTGACACCTGCAATGCTCCTTATGCTATACCCAGAAGCAATCCCTACTTTAACAGCACCAATCAACCACCAGAAATATTTGCACATGGACTTCATAATCCAGGAAGGTAAGTGTGCTTAAAGATACTATAGATATACTCAAAATCACAGCTATTAAAATAGAAGCATCATTTTTTTGCTTTATTTGTTACAAAGTCAAGTGTCAACTGACACAAGTACCTCAATCCTCATAAAGCAAAGGATAGAAAAAAAGGTTCAAATTCCAATTTAAAAAGTGCAATACTATATATGATTTTATATTTTTATTAATGACTTAATCCAAACAAAGGAAGAGTTCTGCGGATGTGTAGACACGAGAACTATAAAGTAATAAAAATTGACACTGAGCTACAAGAAACTGTAAATGTATTCTATAGTTTGAAGTATGTTTCTCTACTTTTACTTAGACTGGTATAGGCTGAAGTAAGAATTCAATGCATTTAAATGTGTCCCTGGAACCATGATAAAAACATCATCAAAGGATTGCCATGCCATGAACATCTTATTCTTTTGACAGTAGATTGCAGCACTTAATTTGTTTTAAGGCTTTTTTTTGCATTAATTGCATGCATGTGCCTGCAAAAGTCAATCGCTTAATGTTGACATCACTCTGGAGCTCACTTTAAATGCAAAGTGGTAAATAGTATCCAGATTTTGTCCAAAGTAGCCAAATTATCTTCAAGATTATGAATCATCCTTGAAATTTAAAACAGTCATACCTGAGTTGCCCTATAATTCATCATTACTGACAGAAGGTTTGTTTGCTTTCTGGTAGTAAACAAAACTGATTCCTCTGGGATGTCGATGTCAGGTTCCATGTAGGCTTTATAGAAGGATGAAGTTAGGAGGAAGAGAAAAAGAAAATAAGGAAACATTGATACATTTTGTTATTTTTAATTGTTTTAATTGGTTTTAGAGAGCGAGCCCACGTTACTTAATGAATTAGATATAGACATGCACTCCTGAAATTTTTCACCTTACTGGTTATGAACCTTGTGTAACTTCAGGGGCTGGATTTTAAAAAAGATCAGGATCTGAATAGGGCATGTGTGCAATTAAATATTTGAGTATAACAATCATTTTAAGGCAGGTCTTAAGAGAGAAACAAAGGCGAAGAAGTCTGGGGAATCCACAGCATAAGAACACTGTAACTGTAGGCACATTCACTAATAGAAAGGTAAATGCCCCACCAATAGATTTGGATGCAGCTGCAGCGGAAAGGTAAGTACGAAGGGCACCTTAAGATGTAGATGAGATGACAACTTGGAGTTGAAAGTTAAGAAAGATCTGCTGTTGTGAGGATCATCAGTTTGCAGGAGAGGCACTTTCACTGGCATGCTCTTGGCCACAGCTGTACTGTCTTCATACACATTGGACCACTAAGAGAAGGCATTGATGCCACTCTGGATTGCTGCTAGAAGGCAAACCTCCAAGTTTCTGCCAGGCTTCGTACTCATTGAGGGAGGGTGGGGACCAATCTGTCCCAGGAAATTGCCACTGGCCTCAAGAATTGCCCCAAAATGGTGCCTGCCTTGATGGAGAATTTTGTCAATATCCTTGGCAGCCCCTCGAAAACATACTGAAAGTCAGGAAAGTGTAATGGAGCCATCCTGGTGCATAATGGTCTAAGTTTTCATACTCCTGCCTGTAAAATCATCCACCTCCAGGACAAAATTCATCTCACTGATGCAAGGGCAAAAGTGATTAGTGTTATTTAAAGCCTAAGTCTTTATCATAGAGAGAATATTGAGTCAAAAATTGCATTTCCATTCAAACCAACACAGACCTTGTGAACAGTCTGACTGGATCTGAGGCACTGGCTGGGGAAGAGTAGAATTAGTGTCAAGGGCATTGTGTCAATTGAGGCAGCAATGCCTTCTGTCTTTCCAGTGTTTAACTGGAGAAAATTGCAGCTTATCTGGGACTGGATGGCAGATGATCAATTTGACAGCACAGAGACAGTGGCAAGGTTAACCCCTACAACTGAAGAATGGCTCCCTTGGTGAATTGTGGAGGGTTGCTGCAACCCTTTACCAACAACAAGCAATGCCTTGAAAAGAGGAGAAAAGCAAACAGAACTTAGTTTGAGAAGATGTTAGTGCTGGCTTAGGGAAAAGCTTCAATGCTTGTTGATATTGACAGAATAGTGAAGGCTGTGTCCTTTGTGTTGAGATTTAACCAAATGCTTTGCATTCAAAATTAAGTTCTCCTTAGTAGGATATAAAGAGGAAGATGCCTTTTTCAAATAAATAGGGTTGTAATTCACAATGAATTGTTTCTAAGAGTCAGCTTGACGTTATTCCGGTCTTTCCCTGATCCTAGAACAAGTTCCGCATTGAGAAAATTTTCATTTTCACCATATTTTTAAGCTGAAAAGAATATTAAAAGATGCCCGTTTAATGTCAGAAAAGGAAGTGAGCCAGCTAAATTACCTAATTCCTCAGAAAAACTGCTGTTCTCTCTCGTTCAACCACAAAGTGTGTCTTGCATTACCAAAGTATTAAGAAATTGGGGCAGAGATAGCAGGAACTGCAGATGCTGGAGAATCTGAGATAACAAGGTGCAGAGCTGGATGAACCCAGCAGGCCAAGTAGCATCAGACGAGCAGGAAGGCTGACGTTCTGAAGAAGGGTCTAGGCCCGAAACGTCAGCCTTCCTGTTCCTCTGATGCTGCTTGGCCTGCTGTGTTCATCCAGCTCTGCACCTTGTTATCTAAGAAATTGGGACATACTTGTCTTTTTCCAAAAGTAATCATAAAATGGAACTTTCTCTTCTGAAGTAGAGTTCTTTGGCTAGAACAGTTCAACTCTCAACAAGGCAAGCAAGTGCCATTCTGAAGTTTTATGTCAGTGCGCGTAGATTCCCCAACACTCATATTTGGTATAGACTGGAGAAGACTGGCAGCAGAACTACTACATCACTGCACCTTGGCACTGTGCAGCCTTAGGGAATTTCCTTATTTGAGGAGGCACTAATATCTACTCACAGGTTGTCATAGAATGTCTGAAAACATTGAGGGGAAATGACAATGCTTCTAAAGAGAAGAAAATAGTGAATGGTACTGAAATTTTGAATTATTAAATTACAACGGTGTTAATTTATTTTAATAACTTGGGATGCAACTACTAAAACAATGTACAGGGTACATTGATGTTTCTCTCTACATAAACTTACTTAATAATGCATTGATTTTGTTTAGGTGTACAGTGGATCAGCATCTCACAGACTCTAATGGCAATCTGACTATTCTGTGTTCAGAGTCAAACACTTGGAATAAATCATCAGGAAGGATAATCAAGATAACAAGGGGAAAGGATTATGGTAATTATGAAACTCAAAATATGCTTGTTAGTGCATACATTATTGTTTTGAGTAGCTATGCCAATATGTATGCATGTATCTATAGGAAAATAGTTTAAAATTACTAAATAGGCTTTATTGGTGTAAGTAGAAATACTAATAACTCACAGCTGTATTATCTTTTCACAATATTCCACATATAAGTAAAACAAATATTTTCTTAATCTGTTACATATAGCTGACATTTCCTGTAATAAATTAATGATCACATTGATTTTTTTGAAGAAACAGAACCTCCTGCAGTTGAATTCAAATCTTCTAGTCACAGCCCTTTAGTAGGTGGCTTTATATACAGAGGGTGTCAATCTAGAAGACTTTTTGGAAACTATATCTTTGGAGATCGAAATGGGTATGTTTTCAAAATTTCCATATAATTAACAAATCAATTAATTTAGTGTTTCTTTGCTACTGTATTATATGCTTACATAGATTTTTAAAAAAACAAAATTTAGTTAAGTTTTCTGGGGATTCTCTAGCACAAATTTGTACTTCAGAAAGGAAATATTGGATTTGGGGATGTGAACACAAATTCAGTAAATTTATACCAGCAGATAATATAGACCACTTCATTGCATTTCCTTTCCAACATGATCAGTTGGATTTTTACAAAAATAAATTTATCCAAATTGACTAATCAATGCTGAATTTATTTAATAAACCATACATTTTTAAATACTCACTAATTTGGTCTAACTTACAAAACATGAAAACTGCTTCAGACTTGGGAAATATGAACGTATTGTCTGAATTGAAAATTAATATAGAAATTCTAAAATTATTACATTATCACATTTCATACTGGATTCAAAAATACTTAATGCCAAGTTGCTGATTGCAACATTTATTTCACTTAAGGTTAAGAATTCCAAGCTTTCATGCAGGTACTATTAAATTGCTTGGTTTCACTCACTTTTAGGATCAGATTTTACTTTCTTTAGTTGAGCAACAAATTATAAGCAAGAACAATAATAGTCAGTGGGTTAGAATGGTAAAATTATTGAGATAATAAATCTAATTTTTTATTCATCATGGAATGTGAGTGTTGTTAATAGCTAGGCCAGCATTTAATGCCCATCCTGATTACCTTGGAGAGGGCGATGGTGAGTAGCCACCTTCAACTGCTGTAGTCCTTGGTGTTTAAGGGTACCCATACTGCTATTAGTAAGAAGATTCAAGGATATTCCAGCATATTGGAAGGGAACATGCAAGCTGTAGTGATCTTGTGCAACTGCTGCCCTTGATCACGTAGGTGGTAGAGGTTGCGGGTTTTGTAAGGTGCCATTGGAGGAAGTGTGGTGAAATTATTACAATGCATCTTGTAGCTGGAACACAATGCTGCCACTTTATGTCAGTGGTGAAGGGAGTGCATGCTGAAGGTGCTGGATATGGTGCCAATTAAGTGGGCTTTTTGTCCTGGATGGTGTCAGGCTTCTTGAGTGGAGCTGAATTTATCCAGGCAATTGGAGAGTATTCCATCACACTGTTAAGTTGTGCCTTGAGAATATGGACAGCCATTGGGAAGACAGGAGGTGAGTTGAATTCCTAGCCTCTGACCTGCCCTTTGAGCCATGTTATTTATATGGCTGGTCCAGTTCAGTTTCTGTTCGTTGGTAATCCCCAGGACATTCATAATGAGGGGATTCAGTGATGCTAATACCATTGAATGTCAGTGGGAGATGTATAGATTTACAGTTGTTGGGGATGGTCATTCCCTGGCACTTATGCAGTATGATATTACTTGCCACTTATCAGCCCAAGCCTGCATTTTGTGCAGGTTTTGCTACATATTAATATGGACTGCTTCAGCATCAGGGATGCCACACTGGTGCTGTATAAGGCATAATCATTAGCAAACATTCCCAATTCTGACTTATGATAGAGGGAAGGGCTTTGATGAAGTAGCTGAAACAGCTGGGCCTTGAACAATCCCCTGAGGAACTCCTGAAGTTATGTCCTGGAAATGAAATGATTGACCCTCCAACAACCATAATCACTTTCCTCTGCTAGGTTTGTCTCCAATCAGCAATCATAATATGATTGAATTTTATATCCAATTTAAAAAGGAAAAGAATAGATCTAGGACTATATTTATTTTAAAACTTAGAAAGGGGCAACTATATGGGCATGATAACTGAGCTAGCTTAAGTCAACTGGGATATTAGACTAGGAGATAGATAAATAAAGGGATTTTTCAGAATACTCAGAATAAGTACATTCCTATTATAAAGAAAAATTCTAAGGAAGACCTACCATCCATGGTTAGCTAAAGAAGTTAGAAAGCATCAAACTTAATGAAAAAGCATATAATTGCACAAAGGTGAGTAGCAGATTATATTCCTGGTCAGAATACAAAATAAGGCAGAGAATGACTAGAAGATTAAGCAGAACAAATAAATTATAGCATGAGAGGAAGCTAACTAGAAATATAAAAACAACATGAGTTTCTATAGGTATCTAAAAAGGGAAAGAATAGTAAAGTGAGTGCTAGTCTTCTACAAGGTGAAGAACGTGGAGTTAATAGTAAATAATAAAGGAATGTTGGATGTAATGAATAAATATTTTACTTTTGTTTGCATTATGGAAGATACAAAAACTATTCCAGTAATAAATGTAAATCAAGAGGTTGATGGAAGAGAGGAACTTGGCGAAATTATAATCACAAAGGAAGCAACACAGCAAACCGAAGGAGCTGTGGTTGATAAGTCTCTAGGTCCTAATGAATTTCATCCTAGTGTCTCAAAAAAGGTAGCTAATGAGGTAGTAGATGTATTGGTGTTCATATTCCAAAGTTTATTAGATTCCGCAAAGATTCCATTACACTGGAAAATAGCAGATATAACCCCTCTATTCAAGAAGGGAGGGAAGTAGAAAACAGGAAACTGTGGGCCAGTTAGCTTGATGTCTGTCATGGAGAAGATGTTAAAATCAGTCATTAAGGAAGTAATAACTGGGCACTTAGACAAACCCAACATAATCAGGAAGAATCATCATAGTGTTGTAAAAGGAAAATGACAAATTTATTGGAATTCTTTGAATAGGTAATATGCTGTATGGATAAAGGGGAGCTCATTGATGCACCGTGCTGAGTTTTCCAGAAGGCATTTGACAAGGTCTCACAAAAAGATTATTGCACAATGTAAGAGGTCACAGCTATGGACAGATGCATCTACAACAGATAGATAGATGATGTGATCAAGTAAGTGATCAAGCAGTTATGTCCATTAAGACTTTGCCAGCTCAGTCAGCAGTGATGCTTCTGAGCCACTCTTTGTAACAGATATTGAAGTCCAGCATTCAGAGTACATACTGTGTGCCTGCCACCCTCAGTGCTTCTTCTAGGTAGTGTTCAACAGGAAGAAGAACTGACTCATTAGCTGAGGAGGCAACAGCAGATGCTAATCAGTAGGAGGTTTGCTTGCACAAGATGATGAGATTTCATAGGACCCAATGTCAATATCGAGGACCCCTGGGACAACTCTTTCCCAACTGTATGCCAGCAAGACAGGACATACCTAGGGATGGTGAAGGTAGTATCTGGAAAACTATCTGTAAGATACGATTTTATGAGTATGACTATGTAAGGCTGTTCCTTGACTGATCTATGGGATAGCTCTCCCCATTTTGACCCAAGCCCCCAGAAGTTGATAAGGAGGACTTTGTAAGGTAGGCAGGGCTCTATTTACTCTTCCCATTTTGAGTACCTACATTGATGTCTGGTGATCATTCCTTGGTTTCATTCCTTTCTTTAGGCTTTGTAGTGATTTGATACATCTGTGTAGCTTGCTAGGCTATATCAGAGGTCGCTTAAGAGTCACCTTTATTGCTGTTGCTCTGGAGACATGTGTAAGCTAGTCTGGTAAGGATAGCAGTTTTCCATCCCTAAAGGACTTCAGTCAACTAGATTGGCTTTTACGGCAACTATCAGTGGTTGCCTGGTTGCCATTAGGCTAGTGTTTAATTTGAGATTTTAATCTATTCAGATTTCAAAACTTGAAACCTTGTTCACAGAATGTTAGTCTGGGGTTCCAGATTACTAGTCCAGTAACATTACCACTATGCCACCAACTCTGCAAACAACATCAGCATATCCTCGCTGATGGTTTCTGTCTTCTGTGAAATTGAAATTCAAAGCTTCTGATCACTGTTGAAATTATCAAAGATTTGCTTTTGAGATTTGTGGATTAAAGTCTCATTTCCAGCTGTCTATTGTTCTGCATCAGCTCTGCTCTCTTAAAATCCTGAACCATTTTTAACATAATATGATAAATCCATACATTCACTGTTTGAATTTCCTGTTGTGCATTGTAGGAAGGTGCAGTGATGCTTTGCAGATCTTTAGCACAAATAAGATTACACTGAGTAATTTTATTTTTCACAAAACATAAATCATATATATCAAACAAAAATAGAAATTGCTGCAGAAACTCAGCAGGTCTAGCAGGTCTGCAGAGAGAGAAACAGAGTTAATGTTTATAGTTCAATGACCCTTCTTTGAAACAGAAATCTCATATATATTTTTATATATAGGTTCAACTTCAGTGCTTTGTATCTAGGTGGAACAGAACAATAGCATCTTGAAAATCACTGCATGTGTGCAAGCTGAGGTCAAGTATGCTACTTGTAATGAGAAATGTGTTCGTACCCTTAGTGTACTGGCTGCTTACCATAGTCATGTGACCTCTACATCTGTTGTAAGTGCTTTGTGGAAGCCATTAAACACCCATCATGTGTAACATGTCAGAATGAAAATGTGTGAATTTGCAGAGCTTTAATGCAGCCTGCTACTAAAAGAGCAGCGAGGAAAAATTGAAAAGCAACGTTCTACAACTTTCAATTCCTGGCCATGTTGAAATGAGACAGAAATGCAATGTTTTCACTTGCAGTGGCAAACTGTTAAACACCAACAGAATTAAGTTTTAAAAACCTGAGCATGTAGGAGTTGCAACACAGCTGTCAGTGGTGGAGAAAGTGTGTGACAAGTTATATTTGAGGTAGAGATTTTTTAGGCTTTCAAGACACACTTTTGGCTCTTCTGAATGTTACATATGAATGGTATATGTTCAATATCAGAAGCCAAGTGAAGTGGGAAACTATCAGTTAGCATGAGTCCGCACAAATATATCTAGCTGAATTCTCTCAGTTTGGAGAACCGAAAAGTGATCTCATCAGAGATAGGACTGTCTCGGACATAAGAGATTCTGCCATGAGAGCACATCTGCTGAGAGAGAAGAAATTTTCAGAAAGCTATCGACTTGTGCAGGAGCTTGAGGTTGTCCATCATCAGCTAGAATGTATTAATGAGAGAACAGATATGGTTTCTCGTTATACTGAGACATAATCCATGGTGAA